TATGATCGGTAACCACTAGACCAAAAAGTCAGTGAAAACAATTAATATGGAAATGGAAAAAAATCGAAGGTTCTAGTTACGCGTTATTGCTATGTTAGAGAAGGCAGACGAGCATACCGGTCACCTGATGGAAAGTGACCATCGCCGCCCATGGACGTCTGCAACTCAGGATTCACAAACGCGTTGGCGGCCTAACGCGTCATAGTAGTCACTCAATATTCTTTTTAATACGCAACAACTTAAATATCTTATATAATGACGTCACCGTACGGGGATATGCCATTCGCATAGCATATGTCGGCGAAGCTGCGTTGATCAGGTGCTTAAACTGCATGTCAATGAACCTATATATTGAATTACCTTTGTTTATTTAAATAATCAAAGACAGCAGCGTTAGATTTTTTTTTATGGTAAGGGGGCAAACTAGCAGACGGGTCACCTGATGGTAAGTAACTACTGCCGCCCATGGACACCTGCAACTCAAAAGTCACAAGTGCATTGCTGCCCTTGGAGTCCTTCCCCCTCTCAGCGGGAGGGGGGATTTGGGCTCCGGCTCTCCCACGATATTACTTGTTCCATTCTCTCATTGTATTCTAAAAGGAGCCTGAACTGCCAAGTTGAATGAAGATACCAGTATTTCAAAACGCACCACCATTATCCAGAAAATGATTATTATTTTTATAATATGGTTGCTTTTTTGTTAATGTACAGTCAGCAAAAAAATGTAAGAAAATCTAAATTTAACATTTAATAATATAGAATAATAATATTTAATACCTAGAGGCACCGTACACCAAGTAGACTTTAAACTTATTTGACACCTTAGAGATATAATTGTTTTGAACTTAAATATATTTAATGTTCTTTGCCAAATTAGTGGTAAAATCTTTTTTATATCTTATTAGCATCAACTTCAGGATTTTTTTTGTAGTTTATCGTTTTAAGTCGCACTATCTAATAGATATTATACTAGTTTTACCTGATAAGTATTTAATACCTACTAGATATTAAGTAGAAAAAATGAGCACCGTGGGAGAAGAAAAAAAAATTAAAATTGTGCATAAAAAAAAATGTCGGCAGAAATAAAAACAAAATGGCTCCGAAATTTTTAAATTTCGAAAGTTTAACGACTCGAAACACCAATTCCGGGGTATGGGCTGTGGCCATAGACAATTGGCTCCTAGCCCGAGGCCATAGGCACCGCTCATACTAAAAGTAAAAGTGCAAACGTGTGTGGAAAAGCTGCGATGTACGAATAAGTAATGAGTGTGCACCCACGCTGACTACTTGGTACACTTTCTACTGGCACTACACTAGTGATGACTAGGGCTGCCAACTCTTAGAAATTGCCATCTTTCTTTAGTTCGATCAAATGAATCATTACCCAAGCAAAGAAAAAAAATCAAATCCTTACATTATGTTTATTCTGCTTTGAAATACACATTATTACTTACAAAATAGTTCACTATTGATGCAGAAAATTTGTATTTCAATTATCGGCTGGATTACTTACAAAATACCGTGCAGTTTTCGGTACCTTTTTGCCACCTCGGTAATAATAAAAATCAGCTACTGGATAGTGCTCTTTGGCAAGCAGATGAAATACTCGGCTTTATAGTTTTCGTTTGCTCAGGTACTCTCTATAAAATAAGCGACCGAAATAATTAAAGTTAATTAAAGTCTAAGTTGATTAAAGAATTAAATCATAGCAGTATAAAACAGACTTTGTGTAGCTCAATTAACATTGCTCAGTTTTTATTCATCAGTTGATTAGTTAGTTTATTTGACAGCACGTATGGCGTAGTGGTTTAAGCAGTCGCCACGCTTCTTACTACTACGCTGAGTGTTGTGGGTTCGGTCCCCACATGGTACGTCCCTATGTGTGATCCACAAATTGTTGGTCTGAGTCTAGGTGTTCTTTGTGTCTTTCATGTATGTTTATTAAGTCCCCCACGACACTGGATATATTCCTAATGAGGGAGTTGTCTTTTGAAATATATAAATTTATATAAAGTTCATTAGTTGTTGGACTGGCCTGTTGGTCTAGTGGTTAGTGACCCTGACTGCTATGCCAGAGGTCGTGGGTTCGTTTCCCACCCAGGACAAATAATTGTGTGATGAGCACGGTCATTTGTTCTGTGTCTGGGTGTACTTTATCTATAATATGTATGTATTTAGAAATATATAAGTATGTTTATCAGCAGTCTAACCAGACTGCTGATAAACATACTTATATATTTCAAACCAAACTAGGCAGAGCCTGTGCTATGGTAACCACCATAGCACAGGCTCTGCCTAGTTTGGGATCAGACAGCCATGTGTGAGGTGTGTGAAAATATTATTATTGAAAAGTTAAAATATAAAAATTCGACAATGCCAACCCTATCGTAGTTGGCTAAACGGTCAATGTTACAGTTTGTATATAATGACATGTAAAAAAAAAAATGGACGGTTACTTTCAATTTTATTACCACAATCGTCGCTCAATCAGCTTTATACTGGAGTACTATCATCGCGATTGGCAGTGAATTGCTTAAATTGCTTTAAAATTCATTGCAGTAGGTCGTTTAGTGTCGATGGTTTAATCGAAGGTAAAATTACTCTTTGGTAAGATTTCTACCGCAGATGAGCTTTTTCTCAAGGGTGTTGATGACGTAACCCTTTCAACCAAGTTAAATCTTGTGATGAAATCTATGTATGTATGATTATGTCTATATACATTGCTTAAATTATTCACTGCAATGTTGTAGATTTCATTTGTTCATAACTTTACGCGAATTGTAACGCAATTTGAAAAAAAAAAGTTTGTTAGAGTTTCGGTTCAAAATCCTTCCATTTTTTAAATATGCGATAGGAAGCTTTATATTTAGGAAGTTTGAATTTTATTTATTTAAATTTTAATTGCTCTTTCCTCTAGATATTTAACTGGTTTGATGAATCACTATCACTGTCTCGGCAGGACATTAATTAAATATTTAATATTAAAAAGTTCTTATTAAAAAAAAAAGATAGCTCCCGCATTAGAAATATTTCCCCTGTGTCGTAGAGGACTTTAAAAACATACATGAAACGGAAACAAAAACACCTAGACTCAGAACAACAATTCATGGATCACACAAAGTGGTGCCCATGTGGGGATCGAACACACAACATTCAACGATTAAACCACTACGCCATCCGAGCAGTCAACCGTACTATTTTTATAACTATGTATTGTTTGAAATTCGAATAAGCTAGCTAGCTAGATTCCTAAACTCTTTAATTGAAGGCGTTCATGGACGGCGTTCCGTGTGGTGTAGGATTAGGAATACGGAATGTCACCATCCCTATTCATCCCGTGAGTGTCGTAAGCGCCGACTAAGGGAGATAAACTACGCAGAACAACAGCACTGCAAAAAGAAGGAAAACTTGCCACAAACCCTATAGCAACCCGTTTGGCCAGCGTGGTATAGTGGGTCAAAACCTCCTTTCTAAGAAGAGGCCTATATCCAGCAGTGGACGATTAAAGGCTGTTGATGTGATGGATGGCGATAGTTACTCGTACTTTCCACCGGGTAACTCGCCTGCTCGTTTGTCCCCTCTTCAATAAAAAAATGTGGGTATTTGGGGTATTTATGTTATGTAAATCTTCCATTTGAAGGTTAGATCAAGATTGACTTGTATTCATACTTTAAGTACTGGTGTTAAGTGAAGCGTCAGTACCTGGAACAAAGAAAAAAGTTCTACGTTAGACATACGGCTAGGTAAACATACTGCATCATTTTTCCGTAGTTCAGTCACTTGCAATTCACAAATCCAGAAAAAAACGCCTCATCTTCTATACGTACAAATACAAATAAATAATATTAAAGTGTCTGTTTGTAATGTCAAAATAATAGGTTTTTTTCATGCTTACACGGTTATTTGCACGATACGTAAAAAATACCTATATTTTTGTCTGTCTGTTTCTTCCGGGTAATTTTCCAAACGACTAGACCGATTTTAATAATATTTTACTACCAGGTTGTTGCCTATATAAGGAGTAACTTAGGCTATTTTTCCTTTCAGAAAAACCCTATAAAATTTTACCCGGTCCAGAAATCGAACCATCTAAGGCTGCGCTTTTCAAATTCCACGCGAATGAAATGCTTCTCCCTGATGTTTGATTTTACTTATGAGCGCACGAGGTACTCGGGTTGGCTGTCAAATAGTGTTAAGATGAGAGAGTTTAGAAACTACTATAAGTCAATTTGTCAAATACGACGTCTATGAAGATGGTGATGGTGAAAAAATACGCTCTCTTTTTAAAGCTCGTATTGGTCAGAAAATGCCAAATTGGTTGTGCGAGTCAAAATAAATCTTGAAAAGCGCACAATGGAAGAGTCTCCAAGTGAGTATGTATGTCTTCCCGCGTGGAGAGATGGAGGAAAGCTGCGGCCAGTATTGGTCTCAATAACTCATCGGATGTCACAAGCACTCCTCATGGCATAAGCGACAGAGAATGCAGAGTGAAGCTACATTTCGCAAAGAAAAAGCAAAAGCCCAGACGATCAGAAATATTCTGGCAATCAACGATTCAAGTCCCTTTCGGTTGGATGCGGTCCAGAGGAAGATTCTGTCAATGGAGTTAGTCACTGGTTACTGAGTAAGTGACTGCGAAACTGCACTTTGTTCGATGTGTACCTTAGCATTCTGATGCTGGTTGTGGTGGTGTTTTATGTCTATGTGATGGCAACACTAAAATCAGATGGCATAGATACATTTATGTTTCCCGATGCTTTTACTGTTCAAAGTATTTTGAATAATCACTTATTGGAGAGTTCCTGGCGTTGGGCTGATAAAACAGTTGGGATTTGAAACACTGAGACATATTTATTTGTTCTTTATTTGTATACAATACGAGTACATTAAATTAACAATAAAACTTATTCCAAATATAATAAATTAAAAACCTACTAAAGATATAATAAACAACATTTATATAATTATACACCAAATAGCAAAAACAGTAATTCAGTTTTTTATTTTTTGGCTTTTCCTTTCTGTTTTGGTGGCAGTGGCGGTAATACCTGAGCTGTGGGAAGCGTCGGAGGTAACGTTCTCTCAGGAAACATCCGATTTGAATATTCAACCAGAGCATTAATATTTACAGTTTTGTCTCCTTTACCGGCTTTAGGACCAGGGAACTTATTGCTGATTTCTTCGATAAGATCCTGATCTACTGGTGCACCAGCACGGTATAGCATATTAAAGAACTCTTTAGTCACCATAGCATTAATTTTATCTTTCTGTAGTTGCAACAGTACTAATGCAATATCTACTTTCTTTTTCTTTGGCTTGTTGCACAAGTAGTCTAATCGCTTGAAAAGAACTTGTCTATAGTCCGGTCCTACGCCTTTAAAGGTACCTACGATGTGGCCAAACGTCAAATTTATATCGGGCTTAATTTGCTTAACTTCGTTTAGTAATAGTAAAAAAATTCGGTTTACATTAACATTGTCCATATTTACGTTAGAGACTTTCACTTTCTTTAGCTTCAACTTCTTGAGAACTAAACAGGCGTCTGCAGGGGTCATGGGATTATATCCCAGATTCAAGGACACCAGTTTCTTCGCCGACGATAAACTGGCACAAAGGTCTTTGATACCTTCGGCTTGTAGTAAGTTGTGGCTTAAATCTACGTTTCGAATATCCCTTACCGTAAGTAATCTTTTCAAGCCCCAGCCAACTCGAGGTGAGAGACCATTCCACGACAAGTTCATACACTTTAGTGTTTGGGTGGTTTCCGATATTGCATTAAGAAAAGCGGAGGTACCAGGTGAATAGAGATTGTTCCACGATAGATCCCAATGAGTTATTTTGTTGTACGTTTGAAATGGCTCAACCAACGATTCCACTCCATGTCCGCTAATATTATTATGGCTCAAATTGACATCCTTTACGTTAAGACCTTTAAACACTGCGTTAGCGAAGTGCACCATACCATCATCGCCTATTTCATTTCTACTCAAGTTAAGAACTTTAAGAGTCGTATTCTTAATCATATTTTTTAACAAGTATCGAACACCTAAGGGTCCAATTCGGCAGCCAGTAAGGTTGAGCTCTGATAATTGCGTGTTCGTCGCAAGCATTTCACCCAAGTGAAAGCACGCATCGTTGTAGATAAAATTGTCAGTGAAATTGATTTTCTGGACTATTCTATTATATTTCAGAGCCATAGCCATGGGTCTGACTCCATTGGGATTAATACCGTAGTAGCTTAAGTTAATGTCTTTGTTCAATAATCCTCTATGAAAACATTTTACAACGCATTGGTTCATTTCTTTACAAACGGCTAAGTAAAGATCTTGGCCGTCATCATCATAAGTGGGTTTATCTTCGGGGCTTAACAGGGCTGATAATATACCAGGATCGACAATACCCGGGTAGAGATAATAAACGTGTCTCCTAATAGAGCTGGACGATTGTGTGATGTATTTTGCACAGATCTCTGGTGTTCCTGGATCATATAAGCCTTCTTCCTCGAGAACTCTTTTAGGGTTTTTCTCTTCGTACACCATTTCAAGTGAAGACCATTCTTCCATGGGTGGATCTTCAGAGCTTTCTAGGCTAACAGCCTCGAAGACTATTGAAACTGTTTCTTCAGGTACATTTATTTCCGATTCCATTTTTGAGCTTAAGCTAATAAAATTATTTTATAAACAATATGTTTCTAAAATCTTCTAATACAAATGCTACTTTACAAAATGATCAGTGTTATCTGTAATATGACGTATTGATGACAAATAGGTTTCGTTTGTACTTTTTGGAATGGTTGTGAAGGTTGTATATCAGAGGTTGCATTGTAATATTGATTCTTTTGATGAAATATTTAGAAAACTACAATATCTGTCTAGTGTACAAAGTTGATGTCATAGAAATTACTTTTCCGCATGAAATTTAGAAGTCAACACCTATATAGACCATATATTGTTTCTCTCAAATTGTATTTCTTTATTCGTATGAAAAGGTTTTTTAGTAGATGGACTGACGATACTTTTACAAAAAAAAAACTTGCAACTCGTTGTATCTAGTTTATATTCGTCTCGTCCACACTCGATGATATTTCCAGAAAAGCGGTTCTTCAACCTAATATTAGGGAATTTGCTAAAAAGAAGGAAGGTTTTCCAGCTATTAGTGCTGCTTTACTGTTTCTGACACTATCTTTTATATTTGTTTATATACGCTTATATACGTCACTAAGAATACCTGAATACAAAGATGTAGAAACGAGTTTCAGTATTCAAATCCCCAATAAGTAGTAAAGAATTATTTCATTTCTCTACTCACACAGACCAAAAAAACAAGTACATAAAACATTAAATTCATTTTATTTTATTTGCAAACATTATAACTTTTTGCGAGCCTTTTTTACAAACTAGGTTGGGGTCGGCTTTAAGTCTACTATTGCCGTGCATACAACTTGTCTCAATAAAATAAATAAAGGAACATATATCTAGTTCTTCTGCGGCCTTTGTTGCGTCTGCGTTGCGTAGAGCTGGATGCGAGAAGCCCAAAATCGATCTAAGTGGCGTGCAATGGGAGAGGCCTATGTCCAGCAGTGGACTGCGATAGGTTGATGATATCTAGTTCCTCTATTTGCTTTATTTGCTAATGCATACAAAACACTAAATTAATAATACCACTTAAGCTATTTATTTACAAATTCTTATAATATGATAATTTAGCATTAATGTAATAACTAAAGAAACAATTCGGACATATTTATGTCTTTCCCTTTTTCTTTCCTTTGCCTTTGTTTGATAGTGGCAGTTCCAATTCTGGAGGAGGCGTGGGAGGCAACTTTCTCTCAGGGAACATCCGAGTTGAATATTCGACCAGAGCATTGATATCAACAGTTTTGTCTCCCTTTTCAGCTTTAGGACCAGGGAACCTATTACTTATATGATCCATTAGGTCAGCATCTACTGGTGCACCAGCACGGTATAGCAGATAAAAGAACTCTTTTGCTAGCATGAAAATAACTTTATTCTTCTGTAGTTGTAACAATACTAATGCAATATCTACCTTATTTGTTTTTGGCTTATTGCACAAGTAGTCCAGTCGCTTAAAAAGAACCTGCCTATAATCCGGTCCTACGCCTTTAAAAGCTCCGACGATGTGGCCAAATGTAAGATTTATCTCAGGCTTGATTTCCTTTACTTCCTTTAACAATACTAGAAAACTTGGGCCTACCGTAACATTGTCCATGCTCACATTTAAGACTTTCACTTTCTTTAGCTTCAACTTCTTGAGAACTACACAGGCGTCTGCAGGGGTCATGGGATTATATCCCAGATTCAAGGACACCAGTTTCTTAGCAGACGATAAACTGGCACAAAGGTCTTTGATACCTTGGCCTTGGAGTAGATTGTGGCTTAAATCTACATTTTGAATATCCTTTACCGTAAGTAATCTCTTTAAACCCCAGCCAACTTGTTGCCTGAGACCATTATAGGATAAGTTCATGTCTGTTAACGTTTCGGTAGTTTCCGATATTGCATTAAGAAAATCGGAAGTACCAGGTGAATAGAGATTGTTCCACGATAGATCCCAGTGAGTAATTTTATTGTACGTTTGGAATGGCTCCACCAACAAGGCTACTCCTTTTCCGCTGATATTATTATGGCTCAAATTGACTTCTTTTACGTTAAGACCTTTAAACACTGCGTCAGCGAAGTGCACCATACCATCATCACCTATTTCATTTCTGCTCAAGTTAAGAATTTTAAGAGTTTTATTACTAATCATATTATCTAATAAGTTGCGAATACCTAAGGGTCCGATTCGACATCCAGTGAGATTGAGCTCCACTAAGTACGTGTTCGTTGCAAGCATTTCACCCAAATGCAAGCATGCATCGTTGTTGAGAAAATTGTCGGTGAAATTGATGTTCTGGACAATTTTATTGTATTTTAGAGCCAAAGCCATAGCTCTGACTCCATTAGGATTAACACCGTAGTAGCTTAAGTTAATGTATTTGTCCAATAATCCTTTATAAAAACATCTTACAACGTATTGGTTCATTTCTTTACAAACGGCTAAGTAAAGATTTTGGCCGTCATCAGGATAAATGGTTTGAGCTTCGGGGCTAAACAGGGCTGACAATATACCGGGATCGACAATACACGGGTAGCGATAATATACGTGTCTCGTAACGGAGCTGGAGGACATTGCGATGTATTTTGAGCAGATGTCTGGTGCTCCTGGATCATACAAACCTTTTTGCTCCAGAATTCGTTTGGGGTTTTTTTCTTCGAACACCATTTCGAGTGAAGACCATTCTTCCACGGGTGGATCCTCAGAGCTAGCTAGGCTACCAGCTTCGAATACCATTGATACTGGTTTATCAACTATATGTATTTCCGATTCCATTTTTGGTTTAAGCTTATAAAACTGTCTACTACAATCTTCTAATATAAGTTCTGCTTCAACAACTAGTCAATATAAATTAACATATGTAACAATTTGACAGTGACGTGTAGACTACCGTTTTTACTTTTTTAAATGATTGTGAAGGTTGCATATGCTATGTCATGGTATAGGTACTTTTAACACATATTTCTATACCAATATGATAAAAAGGAAAGATTTTATATTTGGTTAGTTTGTTTATTTGTAATGAATAGGCACCGAAACTACTTTAAGAATTCTTTTATCATCGATCTGATCAATTTTAAAAAGGCATGGGATTAATTTATTGAATTTTTAGTTTTGATTTTTTTTAAGTGGAAATGGAGTGCTTTTTTTTTTTTAAGTTTTACGTCACTTTCATTTCTATTCCATCTTTTTCTTTCTCTTGTTTTCTCTTCATTGCCTTTTTACCTTTTAATATTTAATATGGGGCATACTGGCACACATCAAAACAATGTTGTAATATATTTTATGATGCCATTGTATCTATCTATTAATTAAAAAGAGTATCCGTGAGTTTGTTTGCCCTTTCTTCTCATAAGGGTCAATCCCTTGGAAACAGGCAATCGTAGATCGACACTGGCATATAATAGATTTTCCATAGGCATAATTTTATTGTATTCATTTTGCTAAATATTTGACAAAACAGAGATTGTTGCTATTGTGTGTGTTGATCTATAGCTTTAGAATATCTTAATATTTTTTTTGCAATAAAGTTATTTTTAGTTCGAGATTAACCAAAGAGGTAATCAGGTTTACACTATCTCGTAGTAACTCCTTAAACGTCAAATTGTTAAATGAAATGAGTCCACCTTATATAATACAATTGAGCCTATTCACTGTACTCCAAATAATCTTAAAAATTAGAATAAAAAAACAATTAACTTTCACTCAAAACTTACTACTAACAGAGATAGTAGTAAGTAGATACTGAATTAATAAATTACTATAACGAGATTGATCTCTTCAGGACATCAATAATAACATACTTAATTTTAAGAAAGTAGCCTCCGTATATGTTGTATCTAGTTTATAGTTCGATTGCCAAAGAAATCGTTGTATACAGTTCGTATGTTAGGTGTATTTTAAAATACTTAAACTTACTTCAGCTCCACCTAGCGAAATAAAGCCAAACTACAAAGGGCTACGGATCCTGTATCGCGCAAATAAAGTTCTCACGTTCATTAATATCGTATATAAAACTTCCCTAAATCAAGGATGGACTGTAATTTTTAATTTTTCATAGTAAATTATTTCGCCTGTATTTAAAACTAAGGACCAAAAATCTCGTCACCGCAAGAGATCATAAATCATGCCAAGGTTGCGAGTAATAAAAGGAGTATATATTAAAAGAATATGCATATACAAATTTGTAACCATCTTATATTGAACTACCTAATATCAGATAATACGGTTAGATAAAAGTCTTTAGTTTATTAGTCATGACAAGCAAATACTCTCGTAAATACCGCCTTCACCTTCATAAGTTATTACTAAACACAAGAGTAAATGTAACATCTCACTAAAAATCAGTTGGAATGACTTGGAATGCAGCCGAGCGACATTTTATGATATTAGACGCATTTATGGGGAGATTATTGGAAAGTAATAAATAATAATAAAGCGTACAAGTCCTGGTTGCGTGATGCACGCTACCGTGCGCCGGCGCACTCTGTGTAAACGATGCGGCGAAACTCAAAGTAATTTGTTGTATTTTGTTGTGCGCTGGGTTAGTTCAAGAGTTATTTAACGCGGAATCGGCTCATTTGTGTAATAGGAACCTTGTTACTTCGACTTGTAGAGGGTTGTTAGACTCTGCACTGTACAATTCTTATTGACCAGACTCGGTAACACGACAACAAGTGCGAAGCACTTGAATTACACCTATAAGATACAGGACAAATGATCGTACTCATAAAATTATTAGTCCCGAGTGGGAATTGAACTCACGACCTACGGCTTAGTAGTCAGGGACGCTAACCACTGGATCAACAGGCTAGTCAAATATTATCAGCTTTTGATATTTGTGGTCCAATAACATCTACATATTTGGGTTTACACTGACAGCCAACCAAACTAGGCACTACAATTATTTAAGTACAAGAAACATAGAATTATCTTTTATTTTCTTTTATTTGCAAATACATACGTACAATGTACTGTAATTACAGTACCACTTAAAACATATATACTTAAAATTAATCTAAAAGTATAATAATTAGAAATTATATAATTGTATCCTAAATAAACATTATCATCATCGACAGCCTTCTTAATAGTCCACTGGTGGACATAAGCCTCGCCTTCGAAAGGTGGTTACAAAACAAACAATAATAAAAAAAAACAAATAAACAATTCGGACATGCTTATTTCTTTCCTTTTCCTTTTTTCTTTCCTTTATTTGGTTTCGGTGCTAGTTCTGGAGGAGGCGTAGGAGGCAACTTTCTCTCAGGAAACATTCGAGTTGAAAATTCAACTAAAGCATTAATATTTACAGTTTTATCTCCCTTATCAGCTTTAGGACCAGGGAAATAATTGCAGATGTCCTCCATAAGGTCAGGCTCTACGGGAGCCCCACCACGGTACAACATATAAAAGAACTCTTTGCACAGCATAAAAGCAACTTTGTCCTTCTGTAGTTGCAACAGCAGCAATGCAATATCAATCTTATTTTTCTTTGGCTTATTGCATAAGTAGTCTAGTCGCTTGAAAAGAAGCTGTCTATAGTCTGGTCCTACTGGTTTAAAGGTACCGACGATATTTCCAAACTTCAGATTTACATCAGGCTTGATTTCCCTTACTTCGTTTAATAATAGTAAAAAATTTCGGTCTACATTCACGTTCTCCATGTTCACATTTAAGACTTTCACTTTCTTTAGCTTCAACTTCTTGAGAACTATACAGGCATCTGCCGGGGTCATAGGATTATATCCCAGATTCAAGGACACCAGTTTTTTAGCAGACGATAAACTGGCACAAAGGTCCTTAATACCTTGGCCTTGCAGTAGATTGTGGCTTAAATCTACATTTTGGATATCCCTTACCGTAAGTAATCTTTTTAAACCCCAGCCAACTTGTTGCCTGAGACCGTTATACGATAAGTTCATGTCTGTTAATATTTCGGTAGATTCGGATATAGCATTAAGAAAAGCGGAGGTACCAGGTGAATAGAGATTGTTCCACGATAGATCCCAGTTAGTAACTTTGTTGTACCTTTCAAAAGGCTCTACTAGCAATGCGACTCCTTTTCCGCTGATATTATTATGACTCAAATTGATTTCCTTTACGTTAAGACCTTTAGACACTGCGTTAGCGAAGTGCACCATGCCAGCATCGCCTATTTCATTTCTGCTCAAGTTAAGAGTGTTAAGAGTCGTATTAATAATCATATTAGCTAGTAATTGTCGAATACCTGAGGGTCCGATTCGGCAGCCATTAAGATTGAGCTCTGTCAAGCACGTGTTCGCTAAAAACATTTCACCTAAGTGAAAGCATGCATCGTTGTCGAGAAAATTGTCGGTGAAATTAATTTTTTTGACAAATTTATTATATTTTAGAGCCAAAGCCATGGCTCGGACTCCATTGGGATTAACACCGTAGTAACTTAAGTTAATGTATTCATCCAATAGTCCTTTATGAAAACTTCTTACAACACATTGTTTCATTTCTTTACAAACGGCTAAGTAAAGATCTTGACCGTCATCAGCATAAATGGTTGGTTCTTCGGGGCTTAACAGAGCTTTTAATATTCCGGGATCGACAATACCAGGGTAGAGATAATACACGTGTCTTGTAACGGAGCTGGAGGACAGTGCGATGTATTTTGAGCAGATCTCTGGTGTTCCTGGATCATACAAACCTTCTTCCTCCAGAACTCGTTTGGGGTTTTTTTCTTCGAACACCATTTCGAGTGAAGACCATTCATCCATTGGTGGATCTTCAGAGCTAGCTAGGCTACCAGCTTCGAATACCATTGATACTGGTTTTTCAACTATATGTATTTCCGATTCCATTTTTGGGTCTTACCTAATAAATAAAATTGCCTTATAAACAATATGCTCCTAAAATATTCTAATGTAAATTCTACTTTATCAAGTTTCGAGTATAATAATAATATCTAACAATTTGACAATGACAAATACGGTTATTATTCTTTACTGTTTAAAATGGTTGTGAAGGTTACATATCGTAAAAGATCACATTGTTTTCTAGATACTTCTTTATAATAAGTAGCCAATACACCGGCTTATTTAATGTAGTTATTACATATATAGTGAGACTAACTATTTCAGACTGATCAAATAACGAGAATAATATTTTCGGCCATCTTACACACAACGCCATCTAGTTTCAAACAAAGCAGAGCTTGTACTATAAAAGTTAGATTGCCTGATAGAATGCCTTTTTTACTTAATTATGTAAATACATACATCATTTGGTCTGACCGCACCACCGAAGCGATCAATATAGACGGGTAGAATTAGCTTTTTGGTCCCGAAAATTCCTATTGGCGCGATTTTTTTTTTCAATAAAGATTTAACTATTAGTAATTGACTGCATATAAAAAGTAAAACAAAATATTGTCAGCTAAGGAGTCGAAAATTATTAAAAAATGGTAAAAACCAGTTTTTCGCGTCTGGACCGAAAACTAAAGCTAGACTAGCTAGCTAGCTACAAAAAAAGTTAAATGTAACACAAAATGTGCACAATAAAAATCAAAATACTAGAATCTTTAATAAAAGATTTTTGTCGCTACAATAGGAATTTTCCGAATTTTTCAGTGTTTCTTTTTCTTATTCTACCTGTAACATAATATAATAAAATTACAATCTTTATAACTCAATACCAATTATTTATAGACAAAATGACGTTGATCGAGCGTATTGAAAATCTTTACTGCAATTCACAGTCATCTCTCTAATGGCTGAATATATAATAAAAAACTTTATAGCACTATTTATTTTCTTTAAAGCCTGCAACATGTTCAATTGAAAGCGCAAAGGCTTTATTGCTATTTAATTACAAATGTTGATAGCATGCGCATGCGCATATAAGCGTTTACGATATTTTAATTATTGTGGAATCAGTGGAGGAAATTAAATACACTACGTTATTACTTCTTTGCATAAATCTATATATTTTTATAGTAGTAAGACAAAATATATAAAAACATACTTTTGTTTAATTAAAGACTTCCATTTCCCTTTCAACTGACGACGTTAAGGAGGGGATGTTGTAAGTTTAACGTGCATCTGTGTATCAGTATTTGCCACGATAGTTGCTAAACGGATAGGCTGATGTTGTTGTATTTGTTGAAAAGGTAGCTTGATAGACGATATAGAAACCATCAGCTTTTGATATTCTAAAGAAATTTCGATTTAGGTTATTTTGTTTTTTTTTTATTTACAATAAATTTACTCGTTACGTTTTTATAAATAGTCGTAATGAGACTATAAGAATATAATAATCATTCATAACCATTTTTAGTCTTATTAGAAGACTAATGGAAGAACATTCATATGGGACACAAGAATTTAAAACAGTATGTTCTCAATTATAATTATATCATAATAAGCTATATAGCTTAATATTTGCTCTAAGCTCCCGAGCTACAAAATATTAGCCTTTTAGTTTTTGATGAACAGAAAGATCTCATCTCCATACTTTTATCAAATATCTGTGACGACAATCTATGTTGGTTTTACAACTTTCTCCAAATGATATTCGATACATTTGACACGAAAGTGACGGAATTTAACAAGTTCAAAGTACAACAAGATGTTTATTTTGGCCTAGGAATGGTTCTTGTGTTGAGAGGTAGGCTTTTGTGAAAGTGCAGCCTCCGGCCACGGAAATGAGAGGTCAATGCCAATAGCCTTAGAATGCGTATCTAATTGGTGACTGGATCAATTCGATTATCTAAATCTCTCATATTCATTCTATAATGTGTATTTAAATTTATTTTTTATAAGGAAAACACATGTAACATACAATCTGTATGTTACATGTATCTTAGATTTATTTGACTGCGCTAATTTTAATACTGCTAAGTTCCTGTTGTAGGTTCTAGGTTTGCATGAAAGCCAAATGTTTCATTATCACCACAACACGCTTGACACTTTATTATCCATAGAGATAGCACCTGTAATTGGTATCTATCAAATGTCAAATCAAAGACTTTAATACGCATGTCGTTAAAGACACATTTATTAGTGTCATGCTGCTTTTTAAGTTTACCACTTATATTTTGCTGCACTAGGAATCGATTTCAGGACATAAGGGAATCTATTAAGTTCCATTTCTATCCGAAATACTAAGTAAGTCTTGAGCTGCTGTTGTTCCCCGAAGAAAGAAACTTATACCCGGCTTCTGAACAGCTGATCCACACACAAAAATTAAGTAATCTAAGGTCGGATTTTTTATCATAAAATAGTGCGTTTCTTAATACAGGATTCACTTTGATTTGATCACCAGATCAGCTAACTGAGTAATCAATATTTACTGCAAAATCTTTTTTAATGAAACACTAATTTTGACACGTCGGTTGACTGTTTACGAATATTTTGAATAGTTTTTAACCAACTCATTGACCACAACAAGTAATTAGGGAATGTCTAAGAATAATTTTTTTTTAAAGTTGAAAAAAGAACAGAGACTACAGTAAATAGTTTTTTTTTTAATACGAAACACAAAATAAAATATATAATGTATATTTTAAGTTGATTATTGCATAGATGTAGTTATCGACTCTGAATAAACGAATAAGGAATGGAAAACAGAGACGATGACTTCCATTATGAAAAGGCAAGCAGACATTAAGTAATATGAAATACAAAGCAGAATTACGAGCCTGTTGAGAGCAGAGAACAAGCTGGTCTATAAATCCTCACAGTGTACGACTAATATCTAACCACTGCTTTTGTTAATAAATAATTTCAAAGTAGCTTGTGTGTGTGTGTTGTTTGCTTGTAAGATACTGTATACGGAACTGGAAGCAAATTACTTAAGAAATTAACTACCGTGTATTTTCTAGTCTAGTCTGAAATGGCTCACTGTTTTACAGAAACGGGAGGAGGGGAGGGGGGGAACACGACAAGCAAATAGCAATAGCCTGACGGTAAATCCGTGTGGTGACGGATTAAGAATACGGAGTGTCACCATCCCTATTCATCCATTGGACTATGCAGGACAACAGCATTGTAAAGATAAGGAAAACTTGACACAAACCCGTCTGGCCAGCGTGGTATAGTAGGTCAAAACCTTGTTTGTAAGGAGAGGCCTATATTCAGCAGTAGACTACTAAAGGCTGGTTATGATGTTAAAGGGGGGCAGACCAGCAGACGGGTCACCTGGTGGAAAGTGACTATACCCATGAACGTCTGCAACTCAGGAGTCACAAACGCGTTGCCGGCCTTTTAGGAAGGAGTACGCTCTTTTCTTGAAGTTTTGGGATACCTATCTCTGTACTAATTAAAAATAGGATTTTTTGCACTTCGTCCGTTTTCCATAATATTATTACGTATTAAATAAATAATTTAAAACTAGAACACAACACATCTGAATAGTCTGAATCACAGCTACTACAAACAGTGTTCTAATCGTAATAAATCGTTTGAGGTGCGCGAGCGCAGCAATAAATAAAGCTAGCGGCCGGCGCATGCGCGGCGACAGGCCCTCTCATAACCAAAGCCCCGTTTGGTCTTTCGAGCTATTTGATTTAGAGAAATGTAAAAGCGTTACCTATCTATTGTTTTCTCTTTAAAATTTACAAAGCCGAGATAAACTGCATTTGGTTTTGTAATGAAAGCCATGTTTGTTTAAGAAAGTACTGTGATTTACAGAGTGAGTTGAGGGAATGCAAATTGCCTGTTCAAATATGCAGTGGCACAAGAAAGTCGCTTTTTGTGTTGTGTGTGTGTGTGCCCTTTGTCTTCTAATTTGAATTTTATATTGTTACGAAGATTTTGTGACTTTCTATGGGGTTAAGTATTTAGGTAGCTTTTTATACGAACAAGGGCTTATAGTGGCATACGTAAACTATTTAGAAGAGTAATAGCAAGATAATAATAATAATATTGGCGGACATCTGACACACAACGCCATCTAGTTTCAAACTAAGCACAGCTTGTAATATGAAAGCTAGATTGACTGATAGAACACTTGTATGTATTTTTTTGTAAATACATACATATTATACATAGAAAACACACAAACTTCAAAACAAATATTTGCAGATCATACAAACATTTGGTCCGACCTGAGAAACGAACCCGAGACCTCAGCACAGCAGTCGCATACGCAACCACAGCATCACTAAGGCAGTCGAGATCGGCAAAGCACAAACACTTTTTATTTACCCATTGCCAACCACGTTCCAATTAACACACAGTGGTAAGCGGTTATCGATTTCAAGAAACAGACAAATCCAGCGTCAGTTACGTATCTACTTAGTGCAAAAACAGTATTGTATGAACCTATCATGCTGAATATTTTTAATAATCCTTAAAAACTTTACAAATTACGCAATATAAATTTTCCTTTCGGTCACATTTTGGTAACCTTTACATCAGGTGAGAACAGGTTCATGATGCAATTCTGCCATTAAAATGTCGAATTACATTACTCCATATATGCCGACCATACGTAATGAAACAAAAAATACACGCATATGTTACATTGTGCAATGGATCAATAAAAGATGGCTGACGCTCCAAAACTGATGACATACGCTCCAAAACGCCAAAATTGACAATAAGCGTTCAAGAAAAAAACACCAGCACAATGTCTTACAAACAAAACGGAGTAATTTTAATCGTTCACTTGCCCTCATATCGTCGCGTGCGCATCTACAAAAAACTATCCATATAAGGTTTAAAAAGATACAGAAAGGGAAGCTGGAATCCATGAATAAAAATTTGCCATGTTAAGAAGATGATGCCCAATATGGTGTTTGGAAATCTCAAAATTCATGGATCGTCTGCGCGTGAGTGTATTCGTGTTGGAGTGAATTGCA